TTCATCAGAGTCGGGGCTCATCCATCAATCAGGTTTTATTCACACACATTCAAATGCAATTCAAAAATGTTTCAACAAATGATTGACGAGATGAAAACAAGAGAATAATGAAACTGAATCACATTAAAATGAATTAAATACAACTCTGAATAAATGGATTGTTCTAAAACAGTTAAAAGAACATTTAATAATAATACATTTTAATCAGTATAGGGCTGTAAAAGGTACTCAAAGACACTTTACATGGCAAAAACAGAAACAACAGAAGTAATTACAATAGATGACGTCACAATAAGGAACAACATAAACATACATAACTAACTTCACATGTTAGAGTGAAATAAATAGAATATGTATAAACACTAAAACCACAGCATAAAAACACATGAGACACCGTATGAAATCAGACGTAATAATGATAAAATACATAGAATTATAAAACACTACATTAAAAACAGACGAATAAAATCGAATACATTGGTTTTAGTTTGTTTAAAAATATTATTTTCAGCTGGAGTTGATTGTATTAAATACTAATTTAATATTTCCTGGTATTGGTTTTAATAACATCATTTGATAGTTAATGGCTCCGTAGATCAGTCTATCCTTGTATTATTATATATGTAATGTAATGAATACGTTTATTAACAATCCGTTTTATAAATCCGTTTCTCAAACCCACCGTCGGATATCTACAGAATTTAGCATGCTAATCAGCTAGCCTCGGTCCGTCCTGTCCTGTAGTACCACTTCTAACCTGAGGAGGCGCCAGAGAGTCACGGCAGCGTCCAGTTAATCCAACATGAGAGGACCAGGAAGTAGAGTCAATAATAACCATAATAATACATCCATTGATAGTTTGTTTACTGGATTAAATCCAAAGTGGCAGAAACGACCTTCAGGAGGCAGACCTTCAGTTAGCGGTTAGCTCTCATTTAGCCAGTCCAAAGTTCTCTCTCTGCTAGTTAGTAGCTGACTCTGCTGCCCCCTACTGGTTCGGAGCAGGTGTTGCACCTTATTGTTAACACAGAGCATGTCAACTCGTCTCCGGTCCAGACCAGCTCCACAGCGTCCCGATAGCCCAGATGGGGAACTACCAGGACTTCCTGAAAGCTGCTCCTCAGCCTCTCCGAGACGCCGACCCCGAGCAGCCCAAACGTCTGCACACGTTCGGAAACCCATTCAAGCTCGACAAGAAGGTAACAACCGGCACACCCTGGTCCTCTTTTTCACCGTGGAACCAGAACCACCGTTCTATATTAACCCTTTCTTCCCTCTCAGGGCATGATGATCGACGAGGCGGACGAGTTCGTGACGGGTCCTCAGAACAAAGGGAAGAGACCTGGAGACAGCAGCAACATGACGGGGGGGGGGGCCCAAGAGGCGGCGCTGCATGTCCCCTCTGCTTCGTCTGGGACGGGCCTACATCCCCCCGGTCACGCCGCCCGCCAGCCCTCGACCAACAGGTAGAGATTCACACACACACACACCTGACCAACTATAAAGATCGTATATGTTTAAATCAGTCTTCAGGGAGGTGAAGATACTTCTATTCCAACTTGTCCTACCGCGTCCTAAAAAGTCTTTAAATCTCTGACCCTGCAGACGTGGACCTGACTGACGAAGCACCTGAACCAGACCTGATCCTGAACCACCTGACCCAGAACCACTACAGCTCAGACGGGGGCTCAGACTCAGAGGGGGAGCTTTCCTCGCTGCCCGCCGATGACCAGGACGACGCCGAGGACCTCCAGCATGGTGAGGAAGAAGAAGAGGAAGAGGACAATATGGATGAGGAGGACGGGGGTCCACGGTTGGGTGAGCCGCCGGCGGCGGACAGCGAGGAGGACGGAGCGGAGCTGGTGCTGCTGGACGAGCAGCCTCCTCGCTACCTGTCTCCTTCAGCTCTGAAGAAACACATCCACATGGAGACGACGAAGGTCAACAACGAGCTGAGGACGCTCATCAACAAGGAGATCAGGAAGCCCGGCAGACGTACGTCAGTCTGGAACCAGAACCAGAACTTTATCTGGCCTACAGGAGATTTAAAGTCTGATTAGTTTACGGTTTAACACTAACATGTTATTAACATGTTATTACAGTAATAACTAGAGATCATTACTCGCTTTTAGTTTGTTACTTTGTTTTAGTAATTATGGTGTTTTTATCTTCATATAAACAGTTTTATTGATGTATAATAATGAGCTTAGAGCTCGTGTTAGAAGTTAAACATCATAATTCATCTCTAATATCTATTTTATATTCATGTGAAAACATCTCCTTCAAACTACTGGATTCATTCAAGTTTATCACCAAAACTACATTTTACAGATGACATGTGAACACATCATGATAACGTTATAATGTACCTTCAGCCAGTACTCATGTTCACTGAGCAGAGCCTGAAGGCATCATCATGTAACTGAAGGGAACGTCCGTTGGTTAGCCGTTAGCGGTGCTGCTAACGTTACTAGCTCTCCTCCTGTTGGTTAGCCGTTAGCGGTGCTGCTAACGTTACTAGCTCAGAGATTAAAGTTGTAACTCTGCAAGAACTAGAATAGTCTGAGATTCTAAAGTCAAACATTTGCAAGAAATAACTCAGAACGATGTTTAAAACTATGAGGCGACGTCCTTCTAATGCTGCGTTCACAACAAACAACCAGATTACACAAAGTCAATGCAGAGACGTGAGTAGACTTTCATGAACAGAATGATAAATACTAACCTACGATAAGACAAACTAAAGACGGAGGCCGACCAATCAGAACAGAGCAGGTGTGTGTTTGACTGCAGAAATGAATGTTTGTGTTTCTGTTCCAGACTACGAGAAGATCTTCCTCCTCCTGAAGCAGATCCAGGGCACTCTGGATACCCGACTCATCTTCCTCCAGAACGTCATCAAAGAGGCGGCCAGGTACAGATGTTCTACCTGTCTTTGTACCGGTGTTCTACCTGTCTTTGTACCGGTGTTCTACCTGTCTTTGTACCGGTGTTCTACCTGTCTTTGTACCGGTGTTCTACCTGTCTTGGTACCGGTGTTCTACCTGTCTTGGTACCGGTGTTCTACCCGTCTCGCCTAACACGGCCGTCTTCAGCTAAATGTGTATATATATATATATATATATATATATATATATATATAGTGCGATAGTCGGCTATATCGATATTTTTGCACAGCCCTAAAAACTACACCGTAAAAAAACGTAACTATCGTCAGATTTTCCTATTTCCAACTGTCCTTGAACACATCATCTGTGAGGGTCAAAAAAAGAAACAAAAACAAAGCAAATTGTGATATTTCATCGACAACATTTTATTCTTGTCTCATTTAGAATAAAGCATTAAGTTGTGAGCTCCTCAGTGAAACTATGATGTCATGATTGATTCATCTGAGACCAACAGTCATGTGACAACAAACCAGAGACACTGGAGGTTGTATGAACGTAAATAGCTCAATATTTATAGTACGTAGAGCCTCCATTCCCCCCCGACATCAACACTTGTGGATTTATAGATTCTACTGTTTTCCAATTTTTGTAAAATAAATTATCAAAGAAATGTAACTTTCTTTGTTATGATTGATGACATCATAACTGTGTTATTCTGCACTGAAGATGTGTTCTAGTTCTCTCTACTTCTAGTTCTCTCTACTTCTACTCATCATGGTTCTGTTTATAGAGGAGCAGGACTTTTATTTTGAAGGGAAAATCTAAATTTAGTTTTCATCGTTTGTTCTTCAGGTTCAAGAAGCGCGTTCTCATCGAGCAGCTGGAGAACTTCCTGGAGGAGATCCACAACAGATCCATCAACATGAACCACGTGGTGGACTCGCTCTGAGACCGGCTCGCCTCGGGAACTGGACTCGCTGGTGGTGGACTTCCTGTCTGTGGTTCACACACAGCAGTGGAGGATGGAGGATGGAGGATGAGGAGGAGGAAGAGGAAGAGGAGGTAGAGGAGGTTTGTGTTCTCAGATCTTTGGACTCCTTCCTCTCGATTTTTCTCCGAGGAGGCGGAGCCTCTGAGGGACGCGTTCGGGGTCAGTCGGGTTTCCTACACTCCACTAAGTGAAGCACTCCGCAGCTCCTGAAGGAGTTCAGCTTGTGTTTAATCTGTCAGACTGAAGAGGAACTTTTAGAACGATAATAAATAAATAATAATAAACGTTTTGTGATCTTTGGGTCAAACAAACAGCTCAGGAACTCTCAGCTTCACACTCAGCAATAAAGTTCTTTTACCTTCATCCCAAAAATCAGAGTTCATGGACCGACGTCCTCGTGTCCCAACTCATCCCGACGTGTCCCAGCATGTTGGGACGTGTCCCAACTTATCCCGACGTGTCCCAGCATGTTGGGACGTGTCCTGACGTGTCGCTATGTGTCCCAACATGTCCCAAAGTGTGACAACGCGTCCCGACGTGCTGCCAAATACCCTCCACCCCCCCGCCATGAATCTCAAACCTCACGTAACGTGAATGCACTTGTGTACATTTGAGAATGTTTATTTAATGTAATTTAAAGAAAACTTTTTTGTGTTAAATCTTCTCAAATCTACACAGAATGTGAACGAAGGTGAAGTGTGTTTGTGATTCAGCCTCTTCTGGGCCGGGGACCCTGACCTGCCATACCTTGTCTTTGTGTGTGAAGAGGCGGCTACCAAAAGAGTATTTTCAATACACTGTAAAGATGTAAATAACCCTAGAGTACTTATTTAAAGAATGTTCACAGGAAAACGGCCTTTTTGTAAGTATTTCCATGAATAAAGTTTCTATTTTACACTGTGAAGGGCCGTGTAAATAAAGTGTTGTGTAAAGACGAGACTGTTTTATTGACACAATAATATACTATATAGTACTACTACTATATACCAGTAAAGGACCAAAACACTGAGCGTAAAAACATGTAATAAAATTTTATTTACAGACATTTACAAAATATTTGTGTGTGTGTGTGTGTGTGTGTGTGTGTGTGTGTGTGTGTGTGTGT